TGGATTATATTATTCTAGATATCCAGCAGTACTTGAAGGATACAGTGATGCTAATTGGATATCAGATACGAAGGATTCTAAATCCACAAATGGCTATGTCTTTACTATTGGAGGAGGTGTCATATCTTGGAAATTTTCAAAACAAACTTGTATTGCCAGATCCACTATGGAATCTGAATTTATTGCTTTGGATAAAGCTGGTGAAGAAGCTGAGTGGCTTCGTAATTTCTTAGAAGATATTCCAAATTGGCTTAAACCTGTGCCCGCTATATGTATATATTGCGATAGTCAATCAGCAATTGGAAGGGCACAAAGTAATACGTATAACGGTAAGTCTCGACATATACGTTGACGACATAATACTGTTAGGCAATTGCTCTCAAATGGGATAATCTCAATAGATTATATCAGGTCAAGAGATAATTTAGCAGATCCGTTTACAAAAGTTTTGACAAGAGAGCAAATGTATAGTTCATCGAGGGGAATGGGATTAAAACCGAAAGCTAATGAGTCATTTTAATGGAAACCCAACCTAATTGACTAGAGATCCCAAGATCTGGGTTCAAAGGGACAACAGAAATTCTGAATGGCTCACCAGAAGCACTGGGAAGATTTAATCTTCTACTCATTTCTATGATGAGACAGTGCTACCTACAGCGTTGAGTAGGATAAACTATGCTTTTAATGACTCTTATACCTTGAAAAATTCAAGTGGGGTATAGTAGGATACTCTTAATAAGAAGTCACCTATATGAGTGTGAAGTGGGGCCGCTTCTATGTGAACTTCTAAGGCTAAGTTTTCTAAAAGCGCTCATGAAATACTAGGAGTTGTTCAGGGCCATATGAACACAACTGTGAGAACCGACTTTGTGCGGGAAGGAACTGTGTGTTTGCTATTGTCTTGGTTTACATCAACGGCTGAACAGTTCAAGACATCATGTTCACTGGTTAGCTAGTAAATCCGATAATAATACACTATGGAAGGCTCAAGGCCAAAAACTTCCTATCGTGATGCAGTTACTTTCTAATAGTACTCTCTCTAGTGTCTGTATCTTCGTCATTTACAATTGACGCCAATTTCCATTCATGTGGGGGATTGTTGGAAACGGGGTATACAAACAGAAACTTTGGATGAAATTTGGAATAGATTTTGCTAAGAATTTTATGCGAATCTATAGACAGAAGCGTTCTGTATATTTATTTTCTCAACTTCGTTTCCGGGTGAATGAGAAATTAGCTCCAAAGTGTGGTGTTTTGATAAGTATAAATGTGTATGCAAAATGTGGGAAGTGCTTGTTTCACATAGAAAAAATTGTTGAAACCAATTGAAATTTAAATAAGCTAAGTTTAGGATTTGGACTTGGGCTTGGGCTTAATTGTAAAGTTTAGATTATTCTTTTTTGGAATTTTGGACTGGGCCTAATTTTGGGCTGGGCTTATTTAAATGGGTTTCACAAATGGATAGGTTTTTTGGATGGTTGGTTTTTTGAATTTAAATTAAAAAAAAAAATCACTTTTTAGTTTTTCCAAAGGGTTACACCTTTTAAATTAAAAAAAAAAAACCACTTTTTAGTTTTTCCAAAGGGTTACACCTTTTTTCGAACCATTATAACTTATGGTTGCACCCACCCGAAAAGGCACCTTGCTACCTATAAATACCTCTCTTTGGATCATTTGCAAAACACACCAAATTCAGAGAATTCTTCTCTTCTTCTGAATTTTTGACTTCCTCTTTCTCTTTTTACTTTGTGAGTTCGAGCCTTAGTATTTAGGTTCGAGCCTTAGTCAGTCACTCCGAGTCCGAGTTCGAGTCAGAGAGTACTACACCGAGCCGGTTCGCCTATTCCTTTGGTTTGCGGTGCTACTACCGAAAGAAGACAAGTCATTGTATCCTGGGAGATAGACGCCACTGAGTCCGTTAGCACTATAGCGGTGCGAATCTGTCTTAAGGACATAGAATTAAATTCTAGCCTCGACTTTTAATCAGGTTCTTTTATTTTATAGGTTTTATTTTATTATATTAAACTATATATTATAACAAATTATATATATATATATATAATTATTATTTTCAGATAATATTTAAATAAATAATACTATAGTATATTGTATAGTTAAACCATATTTTGGACAATAATTTCTTTAAGGCATTTAAGGTGCAATGAGTAAGTGAACTCATTTTCTTTATATTAGTTATGGAGTGGACCCCACCTTTATAATAATTGTTAACATCTATGGTGGAATGGTAGAGGTATAGTGTAACGGGTGGGCATTTGCCCATTTACCTAAAAGTTTAAGCTATTAGGTAATGCTGCATACCCACATATTTATACACATTTTACTTTCCATTCGAATCCGATGTGGAACAAGTCTTACCTTGTAACATTCTCCCCCACCCAAACTCGCAACGCTCTCGTTGCGGTTGGGCTACTCTGCATACCCTAATGGCACACCTGAACGCCTTCCGGGCTAGGCGGTTGGTGTGGCACCAGATGAAGGACTGGGTCTGGCGCTGATACCAACTGTAACGGGTGGACGCTTGTCTATTTACCCAAAAGGTTAATCTATTGGGTAATACTGCATACCCACCCATTTATATCCATTTCACTTTCCATCCGAATCTGATGTAGGACAACTCCCCCTTGTAACATATGGACACTAGTTGTTATATCTTGACAATGCTTTTAGTCAATAAATTATTGGTTACAATGATGTACCACGTCATTGGTACAACCAATCAATACAAATACACTATTAAAATAAAATGATTGATTTTTTAATAATTTACTAAAACGGTTGTGGGACCACTTGACTTTAATAATGTTTCTATTAGTTAGTGGTAGCAATGCCGTGTGTATTTGTTCATTTGTTGTAACCAATAATTTCTTATTTTATTCACCATTTTCTTATGGCCTATTCTTGCAAATTAATACTATGTTCGGTAGGAAGGAAAGAAGAGGGGTGGAAGGAAAATAGGAAGGAAGAAACAATTTTCCTTCGTTCTGTAGAGAAGATATAAGGAAAGAAATGATAATAGGAAAGATGAGTCATCCTTCATCATTCACAAATTTTTATCCGCCTAAATATAGGCGGAAGATAGGAAAAAAGACAAGTGAACATATTGTAGAAGTTTTAAATTACTGCATCATCCTTCATAAATAAAATTATCTTTCTTTTTATCCAGATCAAATTAAATTGTCAGTTTTTTTTTTTCATTTTTTTTTCATCCAACCGAATAAAAAAAGAGAAACACTTAATCTCTTCCCCTCTCCGTCATTCCTTCTTCTCTCCCTTCCATTCCATTTTTTTCTTTCCTATCGAACTGGACATAAATGTTTTAAAACACCTAAGATGGCTCAGGTATTAGTTTGGCGCACACAATTTGTTGAGTTGCTTTGAATTTATATACAAATATTTCAAACGTAAGATTTATAAATCGGATTGAAAATTGTTATATACAACTTATTTTTTAAAAAAGGAAAAGGAAAGTTTTGACTGTAATTTTTATAATATTTTGGGTAAAGTACAAAACCCCCCCTTGATCTATTAGCTAATTGCATGAAACCCCCTTGAATTAATAATTACCCCCCAAACTATCAAAATAGTGCACTTTAAGGACAAAACCAAAAATTGCTATCATTAGAGACCACCGGAAATGTTTGATTACGAAATTACCCTTTAGTGAAACTCTGTCGTTTTATTGTTTTAGTTCTGATGTTGCTGATGTGGCAAATGCAATCTAAATAGCCAATAGTATTGTAATAGCACATCACCTTATCGCAATAACCCACTTAACACTTAAAAAAAAAATAATAACCCACTTTACATTAGCGCCAAACACGGCCTAACTAGATTACACTACATATTTTAGGGCCAAACATGGTCTTACGCATAACTCTTTCTCTCTTTAGGCTCTCTTACGAGCTTGTTCTCCCACAGCTAAAGATATTGTCGACCAATCACATCAAACCCCCCTGATCTATCTAACTCCCGCAATGATAAAAATTGAAGAAGACAACAATGATCAGTGAACAAGGTGAAGAGGTGAAATTTTTGTTCGGAACCCCAAATTATTCAACACAAAATGAACAAGAACGATTAAGAGGACGAAGATGAAGCCGACAATCAGATTCAATCTATTTTCTGATCTTCAACTGTGATTGGCTTAAAGGTTATGCTGGAAGTGAAAAGTCTACTCCTTCCGCAGCCATTCGATTCTTCTCCACATTAAATTGTTCCAATTCCAATAGTTAATTCAACCATTGGTTTTTTTTTTTTTCGGTGATAAATTTGATTGTTTGTTTCATGGAGTTTGTATTGAAATAAATAAGTTAGGGTTTTGGCTCTTTACATATTACACGAAATTATCGAATTAGATTCTTGATTTTTTCTATTGAAATTAGGGTTTTGATTTTGTTTGAATGGTGGTGGCAGAAAGAATTGTAGAGGGAGAGAATTGTCAAGGTTACCAGATTGAACGAAGGTTGGTGGTAGGATATTAATTAAAAACGGGTAAATCCAATGAGTATGGGTTAACCAATTATATATGGGTATGTCCTAAATGTCATAAAGGGGCAAAATTGTCTATTTTAAAAAAATTGGTTGATCACCTGACCGGAGCCATAGCAGCTTGGGGTATTTTGCAAAAAAAAAAAAAAATAGTTTAGGGAGTTATCTGGCAAAATAGTAGTTCTGGGTATGTCCTAAATGTCATAAAGGGGCAAAATTGTCTATTTTAAAAAAATTGGTTGATCACCTGACCGGAGCCATAGCAGCTTGGGGTATTTTGCAAAAAAAAAAAAAAAAAAAAAATTGTTTAGGGAGTTATCTGTCAAAATAGTAGTTCAAGAAATCCTTGAGGGAGAAGATAATTTAAGAAGGTTTATTACACTTTACTCTAATTTTTAATTTATTTTGATAAATCAGTGACGGTAATGTTTTCTCACCCTCTCCAAATCCATACCAAAAAAAAAAAAAAAAAAAAAAAAAAAATAATAATAATAGTGGCAAACCTTAAAAATAAATCTCTCTCTCCCCCCTACAAAAGCCAAAGAAAGGAAAAAAACGGTGTGACAAAGCTGAGCTCCACATATTTAAGTAGTTCTATCCATGGCGACACTCTCAAACACACTACATGGCTTTCACTGTCTCTCTTCATCTTCCACGCCATCTTCTTCTTCGACATCTGTAGTTCATTGTTCTCTCTGCTCCCTCACATCTCTTCCGGTACAAATCCCCACACAACCAGAAATCCCCTTCTTGTCCATCTGTTCTTCGAAATTCCACCTCCTCCAACCCACAAAGCTCTTGATTCATCCCATCCTGTTGTTCAGCGGGTTTGACAGACCTCTCGACACCCAGACATTTCTCGCCACCATTAGTGTTTTGGCCGCCATTGCGCTCTCACTCTTTCTGGGTCTCAAGGTAATGGTAATTTTATTTATTTATTTTTTTAAAACATTTGTTTGAAACATATTGAGAAATTTTAACTCTTTTCCTTTGGAACTTGGAATTATCTTCCTCTGAAACCAACAGAGCTATATACAATTTAGAAATATAAAAATGAGGGTTATATGTTGTGGTTTGTGATGAATGTTTGGTGTGGGTTTTTTTTTTTTTCAGGGTGACCCTGTTCCTTGCGAGAGGTGCGCTGGCAATGGTAATCCCATTTTCCCTTGATGTGTGTGTGTGTGTATATATATAGGGACTGGTGATCAGAGATAGATACGCACTTTCTATAAGCTATTCTTTTACATAAAGGAAAAAAAAAGGCAACAAAGTATGATTAGAATCGTTTAAAATGCATAGAGTGATTTGTCTCTGTTTTATATGTATATACGACGGTTTTCTTACATCTGACCATGGTAAAGGCTTGCAAAGCAAAAGATTTATGATATATTGTCATCTATTGTGATTTTTGCATTTTAGGGCGGTTGTCTAGTTCAGCAGTATAACGATTGAGCATTGGTGCCACTGGTACCAAGTTCAAGTCTCAGTGCATCCAATTTTTAAACATCAAAGCTTAAGTTTGTCTTAAGGTCCTTCCCAAAACCTGTCGTGGCGGGATGAGAACTGGGTAATGTCATTTGATTTTGACATTTGTGGATTTGTACAATTTTAGGGTACACAGCCTACAATGACAGTGACAATTGTACGGATATCTCTCAAAACTATTTAAACCCACACAGCAACATGAATTTAGTATGACAATCATTACATTTACCATTGTGATTTCAGCATTTGTAAGATTCAATGGGAGAGCCTAAATGCTGTAAACATAATGACAGATGATGGTGATGGTACTACTAGTCTTTATTCTCACCACAAAACTGTTACTTTGAATGCATTTGCATTTGAGAGAACATTACATGCCTTTAAGATAATCAAAGATAGGTGAATCCAGCCAACCAAATTCTAAAATTTATGTAATGCAGTGTTATAGGAATTTCATTGGTTAAGTCCACTATCTTTAGTGGGCCGGGCCTTAATTTTTAAGGTTTTGTATAGAAGTCAAGAATACATCAAAAGTTCAAAATTTTTTGGTTCTCTCTTTCTGGTAAAGCTCTCCTTTACGTTTATGTACTCTATTGTGTGTCTGTACACACACATACGGTTGTGTAAAGGGAAATGTCTTGAGAAGCATGCAAGGACATCCTTTCGTTGGTCTTACAGTTGAAGTTGTATGAAACTGTGCTCTCGTACTGGGTTATTTTTCCTAGTTGAAACTCACACACCCACTTTGACCCTATGGGGACTTGAACCCTACAACATTTGGTGTCTCATACTAGGTTTAAATTTTAATGTCTCTTATCACCATGATAATAGGTGGTTTAATAATCTGAGATGTCTTAAAAGTTATTATCATCATGGGAGCGTTTGTGCTTGAAATTCACTCTTTGCTTGGTGAACAACTCCAAAATTTTGATGGAAAATGAGGTTGTTGGCAAATAAGGGACACATCTTATATGCTTTCTGATGCAAATAAGGAACACATGTTATGTGCATTCGTCGGTTCATGAGATTATTTCAGATTGATGAAAGTTTTCAAAAGGGAGTGATGATAAGTCCGACTCAACTTTTAAGGCATAATTTATTTCAAGGAGAAGGGCGTCATGGAGGAGACCACTTTAATTGTTTCCTCTCTTTGTTTGGTGCGTAAAAAACATGTATTTTATCAATGCCTTGACCATGTTAATCATTCCACAAGTAATTGTTTTTTCTAGTATGTTGTTTGTGCGCTTGAGTTTGCCATTGTTATTTTAATATTTGTGGAGTTGAAGCACAACCTCACAAATGTTGAAATCACAATGGTAGATGTAGATAATTTCCTAATCATTTCGCAGGTTAGCCTACTTTTGCATTACCATAATGATTTTTCCAAGTATAAGTATGGGTGTCCAGTAATTGATTTAGAGGTTTCAGAACGCAATAGAATTATACTAAGATGATCATTTGTGAGTTTTAAGAGTAAACCATAAATGTTGAAATAACAATAATAGATATATGGTGTTGATGGCCATACCATTCTTTCTTTCCACCACCAAAATGTTAGCATCAAATGCATTTTCATGTGAGAGAATTTAAGTGTGCTTGAGATCACTAAAGATTTGTGTGCTCGAATTATTAAGTTTCACATTAAAAAAAAAACAAGTAGGCATTTTAGGATTATGATTGGTTGATCAACTTGTCTTTGGTCATGTAGGTCCTGATCTTTTAGGCCTGCTTTTGGTGTTAAAACTAGTTCACAGGATGTTTGGTATGGAGGAAAAATGAAAGGATGGCTAAGGACGGAAGAAAAGGAAGAGGAATAGAGGGAAACATCTTCTCTCTCTGGAGGATAGAGGCAGATGGCAATTGCTCGAGGTGAGGGCTCTGGCTTACGTGGGTGTTTGGAAATTCATTCGGAAAGGGTGGGATGAATTTTCAGAACATATTCAATTTAGGGTGTGAAGTGGTAGAAATATCTATTTATGGGAAGATTATTGGTGCAGGTAAGCTGGTGAGTGCTTTCCCGAGACTTTTTCGGTTGAAGTGGATAGGTAGGTGTTTGCACCCAAATTGGGAACCAATTTGGTACCCATGGTCGTGACCATAGGTCCTAGTTTCTTCGGCTCTAGCAACAATTCCATGAGAAACTAAAACCGATATGTATATGGCTAACCTTGGGCAACACCCGCTATTTGGCTAATGCTTGTTCTTTGGGAAATGTCCGTTGTTTGGCTAAAGCTTGTTTTTTTGGGCAACGCCCGTTGTTTGGGTATTGTCATGTAAATGGTGCTACACTTGATACTGGATATAACTTCTTCTTGATACGTATACGGTCAATCCTTGTGTCATACTCGATGACGCCTGTTGACATGTATTTGGCTAATTTTCGGTCACACCTATTCATGGTGCAACACCAGTACGTAATGCAACACCTGTTGCTGATAACGGCCGTTAAGGTGTTGGGATGACAATATAAATATATGAATGCTAGATATGTATCATTCCAAAGGTCACTTGTTTCCTCAATGGGTTGTTAACTGTGTTTATTAGGTAATGGGTTGTCACTTACTTGTCAAATTATCCATGGAGTAAGAGGAAACTCATTTGACTAAGCAGCCCAAGGATTGTCACTTGTCAACCTTTCCATCGTGGATACGGGGGTGGTGCATTTGGCCATAACATTTAGTCGATCATCATACTCCTCATCATTGAAATCTTCATTCCATTGTGAATATGGAGATAAGGTATAAGAATCATTGGAATGCACACACCATTGCTTCATTGTATTTTGATTTAAGGGACACAACTGTAGAGAGAGAGTTACGTTACTTGAAATTGCATGCAAATTAAAGGTACAATTACATGAAGTAAAGGCATGAAATGTAAATTACATGGAAAGTAATACACAAGAAAAAATGAGTTGTGGGAGTTTCAAGGACAAAAGGTCACGGGCTAAAGCTTAAGAAAACTACCAAAATTCAAGAGATAAGTTGCAGGAGCTTGAGGAGATAAGCCTTGGGCTTATTGATAGTGTATGTGTGGATCTTCGCTATTGGATGAGGAGACTTGTATTTATAGAAGACAAGTGGGTGGACAAATCTTTCAGAAGTGGGTCTCTTTATATGCAATGCAGATGGAAAGGTTGACAAGTGGTAGTACTTGAATTGCTTAGTCAAATGGGTTTTCCCTTGGTCCATGTAATTTGACAAATGGCAGCCCATTACCCAATAAACATGGTTGCCAACCCATTGACGAGACAAGTGACCTTGGAAATGGTATTTTATTAAATGCATGTCTGACATTTATATATATATATATTTTCAACTCAACACCTTAAATCCATATCATCAATGGGCGTTCAACCATCAACGATCGTTACACTATGCATTGGCGTTGCACCATGAACGGGCGTGACCCAAAATTAGTCAAATATATATCAATTGGCGTTACCAAGGGATGAGCGTTACCCAGGATGACGTAAGGATCGACCGTACACGTATCAGGAAGGAATTATATCTAATATTGGGTGTGGCACCATGCACAATCGTGACTGGGTGTTACCGAAACAACAAGAGTTGCACGACGTTACCCAAATAATGGGTGTTGCACAAACAATGGGTGTTGCCTAATAAACAAACATTAGCCAAACAATGGGAATTGCCAAAAAAACAAGTGTTAGCCAAACAACAGGCATTGCCCAAGGTTAGCCGTATACATATTGGCTTTAGTTTCTCATGGAGTTACTGCTAGAGCCGAAGAAATGACCCATGGTCGCGGCTATGGGTACCAAATTGGGTGCAAATAGTAGGTCTCAGACCGTTATTAGCTTGATAACAGTAGGCTGATGGGGGATATGCAGTGAGGCCCTTACAAGATTGGGAGTTGGAGGATATCTTTTAGCTTCTGGCGCTTTTGTATGGTCAGAATGTGAATGGAGTGGGTACCAATGAGTGGGTTTGGGTGGCTTTCTCTTAGGGGAGGTTCGATGTGCTCTCTTTTTATAGGAGGTTGTTAGGAGCTTTGCGACCTTCTTTTCTAGAAGGCAGTATGGCGCACCAAAGCTACTTTGAAGGTGGCTTTTTTTGGCTGGACGACAACTTTGGGGTGTATCCTGATGATTGATAACTTGAGGAGGAGGCAGGTTATTATGAATTGATGTTGCATGTGCAAAAGGGATGAGGAGTATGTGAATCGTCTCCTTCTGCTCTTGTTCACTGTTGTTAAAGGCGCGCCTAGGCTCCAGGCTCATACAGGTGCAACACTTGCGCTTGTTGTGTGCCCAAGTGCACCTTTGACAACATTTGTGCCTTTAATATTGAATATGAATATGCTTTAATTGTAATTTAATTTTTCAGTTGTGCACCTTGCTTCACTCAAGGCCCGCCTCACCTTGCGCCTAGGCTCCAAAGGACCTCTAGCGCCTTAGTGTGCCTTGGGCCTTTGATAACACTGGGGGCAATTGTCCCCACTTGACTCTATGCTGGGATGACAAGTTGCTTGAATGGATTGCAAATATTTGAAAAGCGCTTTGCACTTTATCAGTAGATCAAGCAATTAGGCTAATTTCGGACTTAAGTTATTGGTCGATAAGATTAGACAATGAAGAATCTTCATATGGTTTTATTGAACTAAAACACCCCCTTATGGTAGGTCCTTAAAGGAGATAGTATCAAATAGAATTGTAGATGTTATTAAGGACATGCACAATGCCACAGTCTTTGCTTTGTAAATAATTGGAGAGACGGGTGTATTTCTTCGCCATTAACCTACCGAATGGTTACTGATACTTGAATGATAGTCAGTGTTCATTGGAGGTTAATGGAATGGATTATTGAGGTGCTTCTATTTATTGATATCCAGCTAGTAGCCATTTATTAGGGAAGTTAAATGTTTTGGTATGCCATTATGTGATGCTGTGACCCGAATTTCAGTCTCTCTTTCACACCCGCTTACGACCCGACAACCCGTTTGTGAATTTTTTTGACCTATTTTGCTCATGGGTCGTGGACCCTAATTAGTACTCTCTTGTAGGCTTGTAGCCCAATGTGTTTAGGGTTTGGATTGGGTGTGAGAGAGACACTGAATTTCATATATAATTGAGAGTGAGGGACTGGAACTTGTAATCTCCGATTTTATACATAGTGAAGACTTTCGCCGGATCTCCAGCGTGGACGTAGGCTTTGCCGAACCACATATAAATCTTTGTGTTCTTTGTGTGGTGTATTATTTTTCTGTCGTGTTCCATAATTGTCGCTTGGTTCACTGCGTTTGTCGTAACACATTATTATGTGCCTTCCTATTTTCATGAATAAACTGGATAATTAACCAAACAATTGTGTTCCTATGCTCCATACTCCAGTGTGAACCTATTTTTGACGCATTGCAATTAAACATTTTACCCAGTCTATGTCACGCCTACACCTACATGGGTGGTGGGAGGGGAAGACTAGAGACGAACCTAACTTCGACATTAGTTTTGCTGCTTTTCCATAAAGCGGCAGCTCTCAAAAATTGAATTTGTGTTCTTATGCTTGTCAATCTGAATTTTTATATCATTGCACTATAAATGCCGTGGATGTCTTGTTTTATTTTTTCATGAAAACTAACTTCCTTTTTGTGCCTAATACATATTATATATTTTTTTCTTTCCATTTGCTTTGATGAAAACTTTTTGGGAGAAGATTTGCTTGAGACTTAAAAAGATAAAGTGTAAAGAGTAAGAATCTTTTCACCAAACGTAGTTACAGAAACTTGATAGATATTCCTCAAGCTTCATCTTAAAAAATCAATAAATGGAGTCCTCAGCAAAAAATTATCTGGAAAATTCTCTCTAGAATTATACATGAAGAAAAAGATGTGAATTTTGTTATCGAAGCAAATTGACTTCTGAAATTATAATTCTATTACTAGGTTATATGTGGTCTTTGATTAGTAACTGATGCGGAATTGTGAAGAGATCACATCCCTTGTATATGGTTCCTGGCAACAATAGTTCCTTTACCTAGCCACGAAAGAAACAATAACAATTCCTTGTGTTTTTCTGACTTTTTGGTTGGTGTAGGTTTCGTCTGTAAGAGATTGGCAGTCAGACACTCAGTTTTGTTGTAAAGCATTGGAAAAATGGTTAACGGGGGCACTTAAGTACTTGAGATCAATTCTTCCTGTACTCTATGTTGCACACATATTTCATGGTTTTCAATAGATGCCTAATCAATTTAAGGGTTCACATTTGAGTCCCACTGCGGACATGTCAAAACCAAAGGCATTCATATTTGTGCTAATTCTCAATTTCTGCACTCTTTCCTCCAATCACATTAGTCAATATTGCATTTTTTAAAAAATTTTTGATATGCAATTTAACCAGTTAATAATGCTGTTGAATCCTAAACTTTGGTGGTTGGACACTTGGACTAGCTTTGTGGAGACCCAAAAAACGGAGAACTCTTGGTTAGCTTAAGAAAATCTCTTCTGGTTAGCTCGGATATGTACTAAATCATGGCCTGTGCAGGCTAAACTGGCTTGACTGCCACACAGTTGGATCTCCTGACCTGATTAGTGTTCTTATCATAATATGATAATTTTAGTGTCTGGGCTGAAATATATGGCTAAACATAATGCTTTACGCCAAACCACTTCAGGATTCTGTAAGAACCTTTCTGTTAATAGTCTACAAGAACATATCATGCCCTTGTGTTCACCCATAAAAAAATGAACTTGTCTTCCCACTTGGCATACGTGTTACTTTGGTGCCATTAATCTTTCAAGGTCTTTCTGCACAGGTCTTCTAGAACTTAGTCCAAGAAAGGGAAGAAGTAGATTAATCAACGTAATCTTTTGGTGTCTTTCAATGGGAGGAAACCTAAGGATTCCTGAAAGCAGTGAGTTCTTGAATGTGGGGGTAATGCATTTTGTTTTTTCAGTCTTCTGTTAGAAATGTCTGAACAAAGGTCACTTGTTCTTGCTCTTGATTGAATTGCTCTTTCTCTAAGCTGAATTAGTTTTCTGTATATGCCATTTATCTGGTTAAGTTAAAATTACCTTGTCAGGAGAAGTGTTTAAAAGAAGAAAGAAAAAAAAACAAAGAAAAAGAAAGAAGAAGAAGAGAATATGATACCAACATGAAGTGCTGCGGATAATAATTTGAAGAATGGTTGTGCTCATCGTGTAGATTCTGTAGCGTGTTGATACCAATTGCTCATACATTAGTACCTTTCCTTTATCGATGATATAAATTGGTTTTGTGCATTGATATGTAAGTTGTATACTTTTTTGCATGTGGTGGTTTTGCTATGGATGGATCCTACCTAACATAAGTTGAATTGCTTATTCAATTATGCTGAGAACAGAAAATTCTTAATCAGTTTTCTAATAAAAATCATAAAAACAAGTTGAACAAGAAATGTATCAATCATATGGCATGGTGTTTGTTCTGCATTAATACCATGATTTTTAGACTGTCTGAATGACATGCAATTAACTTTAGCGGAAGCGATATACATATGTAGTATAATATATATATATATATATATATATATATATATATATATATATATATATATATATATATACAATGAGACAATGATCAAGAAATCACACAATAGGATCATTTCATCCAATTGTATTACGTAGGCCAGGGTAAAATGAAGCACTTTGTTGCAATGGGAAAATGTTGGAAATTATTGGTTTTAGAATTGTTCAGCACTAAAGAATTCTTTGTTATAAGTGAAACCTACTATATTGTGGGAAAATGTAAGTGTGCCAACTTTTGAAGCATAGCTGTAATCCATAACAACTTCGGGACGCTAAAAACATGCAATCAATTGTCAAATTGCTGATGTTACTATTTTAAAAGCAATTTTTTTTATTCCTCTACTTGCTAAATAACTGTATTTTAATTCAGTAGTGTTGTATTAAGGGGTCAGTTTCCAAAATAGATATGCATCTTTAACTAGTGTGTGAACAATCTACAGTGAGCCAATCTGTCTTTCTAATGGGTCAGAAAAGAATTCGTCACTTAGAACTGGGCTCTAGACTTCTGGCAATCTTATGTTCAATTTGGTGTTAATGCATCCTCTCCTAAACTTTTCTTCTGTTCTCTTACGTTGTTTCTTTCCTCCTTTTGGTTTGATAGTTATGTCTTATATTGTTCTTTACCCTTTCAAATCAATGTTTCTTCAACTCTGTTGGTTGGACAAAACAACTGATGCCCCCTAGTTTAGTGAATGAGATTCCCTTTCTGAAGTACGCATACAACCTGTTCTTTCGGAAAGTAGTTAATCTCTAGGAATTGTTTTCTGGCAGGTCTCTAAGCCATCTTAAGATTAAGGAAGGGGCTGTTATACATCATGCGATCAATTATTTATCAATGATTCTTGAACACCAATAATCACATTTTCTGCTCATTCATTATATTGGCTGTTCATTTACAGTCTATAGACGTGTATTTTAAGCTTATAAAGTGGTAGATAGATTACGCACTCTTGTACACTAGTAAATTTTTGCATTGAAACATTGGAGCTAATTATTGTTATGATTTTGTAAGGTTGAGCTCCTTTAGATCGTATATCCTTTCAGCCTCTTTTAATTTGTTAGTAATTTGAATGTATTGGTGACTTAATCCCTCTTGGTTTTGAGAACTGAAACTGCTGGAATGACGTTGTGTTTCGAGTAACTACTGATTTATTTATTAAGTTATTAAAAGTTCTCCTTCTTGGTGGATAGGTGGCACAAAATGCGTCTTCTGTAACGATGGTAAGATGAAGCAAGAAACAGGCTTGGTGGATTGTAAGGTGTGCAAGGGTGCAGGTATTTTTCAGTTAGATGGGAATTCGATTGTTCAATTGAGCTATGTATAGCAGTAAATTATGAATTCAAACGTCTGTTTTAATGTGCCCAATATAAGACAATTCGAATTGTTATAAATATTCTCAAAAATAGCGATTTCAAGATGAGATACGTTTTTTTTTTTTTTTTAACCTTTCAAATGCATATACATATGTGTATTGATTGTCTAGGTCAATTTATTTATAGTTCTCTTGTTCTTTCTTTGTTTCCTGTGTCTGCAGGTTTAATACTCTGCAAGAAGTGTGCAGGTTCTGGATATTCGAGACGTTTATGAACTAAGGCGGAATTGTCCATCCCTGTATTTTTAATCAAAATTATTATTTTTCTGAAGCTAATTCTTTCTTCTAAATCCTTTCTGTTCTTCCTATTTTGGTCAACCTGAACTTACTGAAATTTTTTGATGGTTGTAGATGTAAATGATATTTCAAAGTATGATGTATCATATTTTAAATTTTAGAAGATTCAAATTCTTTGTTGATTGATGTCATGGATGAATGGATTTGATTATTAGTGAGATGAACTTATTTAGGCGCCTTTTTTTTTTTGGACCAAATTTAGGGTGCTAATAGACATCAGGAAGAGAGGAGATAAAATTATATGCCATTCATATATATATACACACACTAGTAAAATGCACGTGCGATGCACGTGTTGAATGTTTTTTCAATAATGTTTAGAGTGTATTAATTGTCATCTCAATGAATTCGTAAACTATAACTCTTTGAAAATAAAAGTATTCATATGAACAATATTTAGAGAGTAATAATTGTTACCTTAATGAATTCCTAAACTATAACTCTTTGGAAATAAAAGTATTCATATGAATAATGTTTAGAGAGTAATAATTGTCACCTCAAAAGAAACAAAATAAGGTTTTTCATTAATGAATGAATGAAAACTATAAACATTTAAAAAAATATATATGAAAATTAAAATTTTATAATTTACAAAACATTCATAAATAAATACTATATAAAAATTCTATATATTATAAAATCCGAAAGGGTACCAACAATATTTAGATTGTAATAATTATCACCTCAAAAGAAACAAAATACATTAGAAAATCCAAAACTATAACTTTTGAAAATAAAGGCATTCCTAAATTATTTATTTCTCAATCTTTATCTTTTTTGCATATCTCATTTCTTCATGAAATGAACCATTGTCAAGTGTCAATTCTTTTAATTCTTCCACCGCAAAATAAGTTTTCACGACTTGCTGTTGAGTATTGTCTATCTTCACCAGAAAAAGAAAAGATTTCCCTTTGCAGCTTGTCACTTTGTTGCTGAATTCATCCATGTCCTACAGAAAGAAGAAATATAATTTAGAGCTATTGAGAAATTCAAGTAAGTATTATTATTATTTTTTTAATTTAATTAAAATTTTATGAATAAGGGTGGGAAATTACCTCAATTTGTAATTGTAGTAAATCATACAGTGAACAATTTATTAATGTTTGGCAATCATTGAACACTGTTAGGGTTGCAAGTGTTGCAATATGTTCCATACTTCGCACTTTAACTATCATCATGAATCTGCATATCAGTAAAAACAAAGAATTATGTATTTGCAATATTATTAAACCATTGAAATAAATACAATAATAAGGTTTTAGGATATAATAATACTTTTGAATGCATTTTGGGTTTGTTGTGTTGCATCAAGGACAATATACTCTATCTTTTTCAACTTTTATTTTCTTGTTGCATTTCTCACAGGCGTCGTACCACGGTTCGCGGTCATTAACGACATTTCGAATTGTTGCTTCGAAACAGTAATTTGTTTTCTGCAGGTTGTGCAACAAAATATAACTTCTCAATATATGAATTGAATATAAAAATGTAATATACAATTAAGAAAGATTAAGAAATATACTGAAATTCAATACCTCAAAGGACATTGCAGATTTTCCAATTATGTCTTGAAGTTTAACTTTTTCAGCACCATTGAATTTTTGATCTTTTGTACTGGAAATCAAACTTCTTATATCTTTGTTATTAATATTCTCCTTGGACCTGTCCACATATAAATTATCTTGTAAAATAATTAAATAAATAAAACAGAAAAACATGTTCTCTTTCTACAAATAGTGTATATTTTGCACCAAGAAGTCTGCAATATAAAAATATAAAAACAAATATCATTTAGCATATATGTTTAGTTATATATGAACATACTCAAAGAAAAGGATTATATGTAACTTTATGAATATATATATATATAATGTAAAAGAAGTTGGAATAAATAACGAACCAATGTCTTAATGCTTTGACACTTTCAATATCCATATTGATTTGCAATGTAGATCCTTTTTGCGTTTGAAGAGACAGACCTGGAAAATAACAATATTATTTGTAAAAGTTTGTTATTATAGATTTACTTAATAATATATAATGTAAATAATATCAATTTGTATGATAATTTACCTTTGTAGGTATTGATTGCCACATGTGTAACTGTGATAATAGGTCTTTCTTGTATTAGTTCCATGATAAAGTTTCCTTCATTCTCAGCAAGATCCTCCCATAACGTCAAAGTAGTTGTCCTTGAACTATAATAAAGATTAATTACTTTAGTCATTATATTATATTGACATAATTATGATCATATATGTAATATAGTAATGACGTACCTCATATCCATTATAATGACTTCCCGCTTTTTGGTTGTGCCTTTGTTGTTCTTCTTACATATGTTCAATGTAGGAGATACCTCAATAACAATTCCCAAAGCATCTAGCCAGATTAAAAATAAAATAAAAAATAAGAAATTTTAATTTTAATTTTATATGTGTACAAGAGAGAACATATATATGGAGAGTTGAGAATTAAACGAAAACTAACCCATATTTTCTTTTGCATCAGTGTACTTGTTCAGCTCCTTAAAGTCCACAAAATTAAAGTTTATTGTTTCCAAACTTACTACTTCAAGCTCTTCAACTTCAATTAAGGTATTATTAAGAAACTTCAATTCATACTCCTTGTGCACACTCCTATATATAGGATTAACGTCTTTTACAGTTACACTAGAAATTCTGTATGTCTTGTGAAGCAATAGTGAATCACTGAATTTGGTGACAAGCTCGTTAAATAAGACACCTTGAATTTGTGTTCCCTAAAAGAGTAAAAAAGATGTGTAAATGGATTAATAGATCATTAAATAACAATGTTACCATACAAATATAGATGCATTTAATGAAACTAACAGAAATAGCCGATGGTATACTTACATCATCATCCATCAAAACTACTTTCAACATTGTTCCTGATGTGTATTCCTCGATTGCTCTTCAAAGTACAACTACTTTTATTGTCGATTCTGTTTTTAAACTAACAAGTGAATTTATTAACTCAAAGCTTTGGTGACCTTTCTTCATTTTCATGACTGTTTCTGCATGATGAAAAGAAAAAAGAATTAAGGTTAAAAAAAATAAAAAATAAAAATAAAATTGTGAAATAAGAATGATCGAGTATCAAAATAGAAATGAAAAAAAAATGTATACATCAATAGTAAGTTAAATCGAAGTTGATATTTTTTTATGTTTTTAAAAGAATAAAATTGTGAGTGAAAGATTTAAATATTGTAATAATTGGTAGCGAATGTGTGGTACCTTTACCCTTCGAACAATGCAAAATAATTTTGGAATGGGAAGGCATGGATATTAATGTGGGTGTATCCTTACCTTTCAGACTGGAGAACCTCCTTATAGACAACATTTTTAGTGTATGTACGACCTCTAATGTTTGTTTGATCCTTCTTAACAAGTACTTTAGTAGTTGACATTGAAGTTCCTCTAGATAGTGCGACATATAATTGTCCATGGGAGAACACGTGCTCAGGTAGATAAACTCCAACATAAGGAATTGTTTGGCCATGTGCCTTATTTATTGTCATTGCAAAACTCAACCGGATTGGAAACTGTTTTTGTGTAAAATGGAAAGGCGTAGCTTCATTCTCTACCGGGAATAGGGGTATTCTTGGAATCAGTACTTGTTTTCCAGCATGTTGTCCATGGATGATTTCTGCATTGATCACATTGGCCTTTGTTCCACGACAGATGAGCCTGGTACCATTACACAACCATTTGTCGGATCCAAATTTCTCAGCAACATTATAGGAAAATCGACTTTCAACGTTAACTTATGTGGCGGGAGGCCATTTGGAGCCAATGAATTAAGGAAATCTTCTTGGTAATAGGTCCCCGTATCATCAGTAGCTTTGTCAAAGCTAAAATACGTAGTGGGTTTGCTTGGGAATTGTTCAATAAGATTCTCATTCAATTTGTCAACGAAATCATTTTTGGTTGCCAAAATTGCTCGATTTGTAATATATTCCGCCGAGTGTGCATTTTCGATAAGGTGGGGGAAAACGGCATTTATCAATTCTTTTTCTAAATCTTCCTCATTTGTAGATTTTATTACCATCTCGTCTGGCAACTTGATCATGTTGTCCACCAGAACTGGTTCTTCCCCACTGCCAACACGTAGTAGAAAATCTGCAAATGAAGGATCAGTTCTTGCTCTCATATTCTGTTTCAGCTGTATCTTTTTCATCTTCTTCCATAAGTAAGATTCTACCAAACTTACTCCAATTGTTTCAGCCCGGGTCCCTCGAGGTACAACAGGCAATACTTGTCGAAAGTCTCCACCAAAGACTGCTACTTTTCCTCCAAAAGGTTCCGTGGTACTAAGGAGATCTTGGAGAGTCCTGTCAACTGCCTCAATTGCATAACGTTTAGCCATTGGTGCTTCATCCCAAATAATGACACTTGCTTTACGCATTAGCTTTGCTATTGAACTTTGCTTTGAAATGTTACAAACTGCGGACTCGTTTGCTAATATTGGAATTTTAAATCTTGAATGTGCGGTCCTCCCACCAGGTAAAATCGAAGATGCGACTCCTGAAGAAGCAGTTGCAAGAGCTATCTTTTTTTCGGACCTGACCTTTGCTAGTATTGCACGATATAGATATGTTTTCCCAGTTCCACCCGGGCCATCAATGAAGAAGATGCCGGGTTTGTTTGAGAGAACACATTCCACTATCATATCATATGCATTCTTTTGTTTAGCGTTTAGAGTCGCCACAGCATTGTAATCTTCAAAAGGCGTAACAATGGCATATTCATCGTCAATCTCTTTGGTAAAACTGTGATTACATACATCACGGGACACTATATTTGGCAGGTCGAATTGTTTTACACTTCGCCCCATGCTTATTAAGTAGCCATCTATACTCTTAAGAGCTTCATTGGCTCAATAACTTGCAGATGAAGTACTTGTGCATGGAAAATCTTCTGACATTACATCAACAGAGTCATCCCATAATTTTCTGACATTGCTGGGCTCACAATAAACCAGTAGAGTAGCGAAAAGCCGACGGAGTGCCGTTGGCATTTGAAAACACACGGCGTCGTCAAGACATTCTACAATGCTGTTGTCGCTTTCAAGAAGACCCCTTATTTGTGCTGATTCTTTAAATGTAGGACATTTCTCCCCGTTAACAGTTAATAGATCGGCATACGATGTTGGTCCACGCACGTGGTTCAATAACACTCTCAAGTAGTACCGTTCTCCTTCAGAAGGGTTGGCTGCGTTGACTCTCCCAATTACCTCTTTCGCTTTTCTAGCAGTCCAGCGCTTGGTTTGCTTGTTCCACACAAAATGCTCTGGGATTTCTCTATATAGAAAAGCTCTAGATTCTTCGCACGTGGAATTTAGATGGAAGAATTCAGTTAACATCGTCTGTGATATACCATTAGAACGAACTACATATTCGAGATTCTGCTTTTCCCAATACCATACCATATGTTTATTGGGGAGATGCAACTGAAGGTTGATAACAGAATGATGTATCTCATTTAAATTGAACTAAAAAATTCTCCACATTGCTTCATGTGGTGATACCCACCTTGCCTCTTGATAGTCTTTTATTTCATCAATAATGTCATCACTATCAGTGTTTGATAAGTAAACTGTGGCTCGATCATGCCCTTTGTAAATATATTTATAAAGGTACTTGATTGCTAACAACCCTGAACATATCTCAACATTAATATGACAGTCGTACCTCTGCAGAAGATATGGATTATAGGGAACAACCCATCTATTATCTAAAGTTGCATTACGCACACTAACTGTCGGACCATCTTTTCTTCTTCTGTATATAGGGTAACAATCTTGACCTTGTATCGTTTGCTCATTGAACTGTCGAGGATAATGATTTTTACATTTACCATCCATCATGCAAGCGTTCTTTACGTTTAAATCTCCGCAAGGCCCATGCATCATGTGTTTAACTACTTTAGCATAAAGTGTTGGATTCTCATTCTCATTTGTGATTTCGGCATAGACAAACTTATCATAATGATCTGCATTTGTAATCTTATGCTCAGATTCAAATATAAGCAACATGTGTGCATGTGGTAATCCTCTTTTTTGAAATTCAATCACATAAACATGTGCAACCACTTTTCCAAATATGAGTTTTTGAAATAATTGTTTCTTAAGGTCATATAGCTTTGCTCGAAACACCCTTGTTGTTAAATCTGGTCTATCCTGAGCTAACTGTCCCGATTTCAGCTCCTCTTTGATCTCATTCCAATCAGGATTGCATGTCATTATGATGAAAAGGTCTGGCTTTCCAAATCTTTGAACCAAACACATCGCATCATAATATCTCTTTTGCATGTCCCTAGGCCCTCCAATGAAGGATGAAGGAAGAACCACTCTTTTCCCAACATTATTTCCTCTATTTTCTCCGGCCACAACACTATCAACAATTCTTTGATATAGCTCGGTACGAATATGTGATTGTTCAGTTCGATAGTAATCCAAACGTGTTGTTTCAATCTTAATGTACATATCAACACTATATTGTTGCAACAATCTCCCGGCATATAAGAGAATTGATCGGTCCTGGTTGCGGATTTGAAGCTTGTAACAATAATATTGTCTGCATGAAATTTTTTTAGCTCTCCTTCCTTCGACACCTACATGTTTAATTTATATAAGAGTTAAAAAAAATTGATATTTTGAATTGTATGAGAGTTTTATTTTTAAAATAAATAAAGCAAAATTGATAATTGTATTTACCTTCTCTAGATCCTGTCATAATGGAATCATCGAAGATATCATCTTCATGTGTAATATCTGTCCCAGGGTATGGCTGACGACGATTCTTGATATTACGATGCCATCCGATCTCACCATATGGGAATAGTAGAGGATATTGCAGTGGATCATAACATCCAAAATAGTGTCTCACTCTGTGTTTTCTGCCGGAGTGTGCAACGACAATTATGTCACGCTCTAAGCGCATGTCAGGGTATGCTCCTTCTATCCAAACAGCTGCAACTTGGTCTGTTGTTGGCGAATTGAAAACCCTTTGATCAAGTTGAACATCATTTTTAATAACAATTTCATGGTTGTCTGAAACGGGAATATCCTTTAACCTACGAAGGAACTGAGCATTCGGATTTGACGACAATATGTTCATCAACTTTGCAACAATAGGTTCACTTAAGTTCGAGTCATTTAAAATATTCATTCTATTTTGTAACTCATTGTCAGTGTCATAGAAGTATAACTGGAGGTAACATGGAGATCTGTCTTGTATTGAGAGTGAGGGTAATTCATGATATATTTGACCTTGTGCTCGGAAAGTATATATACCACTCTTCATAGTTGCGAGATTTTTGTCAAGACGGACTCCGAAAGATGTAAAAGAAAAAATGCTATTATATGCACGTATGTATCGACGAAGTCCTTCGCGAAGGCATCAGTTTGGGATGTGAATAATTTGTACAACTCATCTGGGACAAGAGTAGATGTTAAGATCACATCGCCATTTGAGCAACAAAAAGTCGGAGGCTCGTGTTCAAATTTCTTTGCAAGACAGTGAGAACAACTTGGAACCTTCTTTAACGCCTGAGATGGTGTATGGGATAACTGTCCCATGTCTCCCTTTCTTCTTTTTCTTGCATGTGTTACACCTTGAATTTTGTTTTGTCTTTTCTCAGTAGATAAATTTGCATAACATTTTCTATTGAGTGAACTCCTTTGTTTTTTTACATGTGTTGATTGTTCGACGTCTCCTTTTTTTCTTTTGGCTGCATCTTTGACTTCTTTAATCCTCTTCTGTCTTTCCTCGGTAGATAAATTTGCATAACATTTCCTGTTGTTTAAACTTCTTTGCTCTTCTACATGTGTTGATTGTTCAACGTCTCCTTTTTTTCTTTTGGTTGCATCTGTGACTTCTTTAATCCTCTTCTGTCTTTCCTCGATAGATAAATTTGTATAGTATTTACTGTTGTCTAAACTCTTTTGCTCTTCTATATGTGTTGATTGTTCGATGTCTCCTTTTTTTCTTTTGGTTGCATATGTGACTTCTTTAATCCTCTCATGTCTTTCCTCGGTAGATAAATTTGTATAGTATTTTCTATTGTCTAAACTCCTTTGCTCTTCTACACGTGTTGATTGTTCGAAATCTACTTTTTTTCTTTTTGCTGCATCTGTTACTTCTTTAATCCTCTTCTGTCTTTCCTCGGTAGATAAATTTGCATAATATTTTCTATTGTCTGAACTTCTTTGATTTTGTTTATGTGTGGGTGCCATTCAAGTGTGACTAACAAATTTAAACATATGTATAGATAAAGAGATATGTTAGACATGCTTTTATAATAAAAAATGTAAAAGATGTTTAGCATTAGAGAGACAATGAAAAAAAATAAAAAAACAACCTTAGAATAAAAAAAATATATATATATAGATATATATATATATATATATATATTCAAATTTAATAAAAAAAAATTCCCAAATATATATATATATATATATATATATATATATATATATAAAATAAAAAATTAATGAATTACTCTACCAATAGGGGGTGGGGGTGAAATGTACCTTGCAAAAAAGGCTTCGATCTTGGGAAAACTTGGACTAATAAGAAGAAGAGAAAGATAATTGATTAGGTTTTTATTTTTATTTTTGTATACATTAAATGTAGCAATATATATAATAAAACAATGCATAATCAAAACATAATATTAATAACAATAAGAAGAAGAGAAAGACAATTGATTAAGTTTTTTATTTTATTATTATTATTATTTTTTTGTATATATTAACTTACAAAATAGCACAAAAGTTAGAATAGTTATTTTTTCTAACCAAATATCATGAAAAAAAAAACTTTTTGAATTTGTTCAACTATTAACGTATAAAAAGAGTGGAGTTTTTTTTAAGTCTTTCCGAATAATGTGGAGCAATTACCTATTATTAGTAAAATGCAATTGTATTTACAAAGAAAACATATAAGTGGATTTATTAATAACGTAGACAAAAAAAAAAATTCCAGGTAAGTTAGTCAATTAAACAGTTACCTACTTAAATTAAGGTAAATAATGTAAAGAGCAGTTTACCTATTATATTATTTACCTATTATTATTAAAAGCAATCGACTATCTATGTACGTTCGGCTTGTGTTTGACGTTTGAAATGACAAACAGCCTTAATAAATTGTTGACAATTACGTTTAAATAAATAAAATTTAGATTAAATTACACAAAAAAAAAAAAAACCTAAACTTTCTAGAAAAATGATAAACATCCTAAATTGAATTTTCTGATTTTTTTTGGAAGACGTGACCGTTGATTTGCTAATCTGGTCTCTCTCTTTTTAATTTTTTCTTTTTATTTCTTTATTTCCATATCTTTTTATTTTCTCCTTATTTTTTGTTTGATATAGAAATTATTCTTTCCACGGCATATCTGGATTTAATATATATATTTTTTCTTTTTTGAAAAAACCTAAATCAAACGTTATAGAGTTTTGTCTTTTATGTAACTATTTACAAACAATCAAAATATATTTATTCTCAGTTATTACAAACTCTTATAATATACCATTCCTTTGCGTTATTTTATTGAAAAGACAAATTCTCCTAGCTTTTTATCAAAACTATGGTAAATTTAACATATATATCATGTATATTTATATATATTAGGAAAAGAACAATAACAATATTCAAATTTAATAAAAAAAAATTATAATTACAATCCATAAATATATAGATATAATAAAAAATTAATGAATTACTCTACTAATATGGAGTGGGATGAATTACTTTACTAATATGGAGTGGGGGTGACACGTACCTTGCAAAAAAAGGCTTCGATCTTGGCAAAACTTGGACTAATAAGAAGAAAAAGACAATTGATTAGGTTTTTTTTTTTTTTTTTTTTTTTATATTTGTATACATTAAATGTAGCAATATATATAATAAAACAATGCATGATCAAAACATAAGATTAATAAGAAGAAGAGGAAGAGAAAGACAATTGATTAGGTTTTTTTTATTTTTGTATACATTAAATGTAGCAATATATATAATAAAACAATGCATGATCAAAACATAAGATTAATAATAAAACAATGCATGAGCAAATAATAAAACAATGCACCTACCTTGAAAATTGATGTGATTAGATGAAAGTAAAAAAGGACTTATATATAGAGAGAGAATATAGATTTAATTAAATTCAAAATAGACTCTTTTTCTCCCTTGCCAAGAATCCCTTCCTGCTGCAATTGTGTTAGGTTTTGAATTCCTTCCTGCTGGGACTGTTATTATAATTTATTATATTTTGTGTGCTGCAATTGTGTTAGGTTTAGTAGTAGTAGTATAGTATAATTTTAATTTTAATTTTAATTTTGAATATAATTTGAATTTTAATTATTATATGTTTTGAATTTTAGTATAGCAAAAACATGCAAATAAACCAAACAAAGCCATCCTCTGCTTTAGAACTCTTCTTCCGAGTTCTTTTTAAGTCATGAGAATTATTTTATTTCACCTTCAATTCTTGTCTCATCCTTATACATAGGCTTCCAAGTTCCAACCAACCCAAAAACACTTTAAAACAACCCTTTTAATAAGTAAATTATGAGTAAGTCAATTCTCAAGCCCAACAAAAAAACAATAATTCTATTTGTTGTTTTCATATGAATCCTTGTGTTATTTCAAAGTTTATATATTGGAGAAGCCTGCAAGGTGACTCAGTTTGGCTATTCTTAGGGTTTGACAAAAACATAAGTTTTGGAGACATGTATCTTAACCTCTACCTGTTTTTTTCTTTGCCCGTGGTTACATGTGACTCACATACCGCAACTTAGAAGCATTCCATGATGTCTTCACAAGTAAAAACAATTGAACAACAACGACAACGTTTTAAAATTTTCTTTGAAAAAGCATTCTACCATGCTTTTATATTTTACACTCAGTTAATATATATAGTTTTTTTTTTCTGTAAAAAAAGTTGCATCCAATCCAGTGAATCAAAATATATTGTTTCTCAATTATTACAAACTCTTATAATATGCCTCGGTCAATATATATATATATATATAATTAACCTTGTTTAATTAGATGCAACAGATGGATGATATTAAAGTACCCAAACCAAGTATGCAATTAATTTTCTGGTTTGTCTGGTGTGGTGCTCATTATCATCAGTAGGTTCTTTTAATGGAGGAGTTTGTTATATGATATTCCTCACGTACTAACTTTTTGAGTGCTTAATTTCTCTATATTTTGTTAATTTGAATTAATTTAAATTTTATTAGGTAATTTTGAGTTTTATAGAATTTATATCAATTAATAAATAAATACTGAAACACAAAGTAGTATTACACTTGATTTTAGCCAAAAGACCAAGAAAGGTTAGCCGAAAGGCCAACCCAAACAAAGGCCTAAAAAGTAGTACTACACTTGATCTTAGCCAAAAGACCAAGAAATGTCTTAGCCAAAAGACCAAGAAAGGTTAGCCAAAAGGCCAGCCTAGAAAGTAGTACTACACTTGATCTTAGCCAAAACATCAAGAAAGGTGTGATACCCCTCGGATCCGAGACACGGGTTGATCAGGCCCAGGCCCGAACCCGAGGGAATATCTAACAATTAATATTTTATAATGAACACGGAATACAAAATGAATTAAGAAATGAAATTAAAGCTGAAAGGAACTAAAAATAGAATCAGTAAAATAATATAATTATTAAAATCCATCAAACCCAAACTCCAAAACTCCATCAATTTACAACTCGGGAATCCATCTCTAGTGGACCCCTATTAAACATCCAAATGGAAAATAAAGCAACTGTAATAAGCATCTAGAAATAAACTATGGAGAGAATCCTACATCGTCGGAAGAGTGAATAGAGACCTCAGCTCAGCACGAATACGTCTAAGCCTGGAATTGTCGTGTACCTGAAAAATAGAAGTGGGTCAGGCCCACACGCAAGTTCTATACTATTACAATCCAAATAGAGGCCCGATACGCATGTACATCCTAAACAAATTAACAATAACTAATAGTCCGTAAGTGTATATATATATAGTCACACTAAAGGACTCTCACTGGACTACAGGCCGGTCTCAACCTGAATAGAGGTAACATGCTAAAAACGCACACGAAGTGGGCATGTGTACCTAAACCTAAATAGGGTACACCTCTAACCATCGTATCCAGCTATGCATCCCAATGCATATATGCTCCCTAACCATCGATCCTGAGACTCAAGCTCATATCGAGGTACCATAATAGTAATATATTTAAAATCCATTCAAAATCCATAGTAGTGCCGCTCAACTAGTTGTTGCCATGACACTACAAATCCATAGGATTTAACTTTTAGTTAATCCATTCATTAATCCAGAATAGGTAGGTTTTGGTATTTTGAAACCAAACCGTCCCTAGTATACCACCATCCCATACCGGTGTATACTATCCAACCATCCAGCAGTTGATAATATCGGCAACTGAAGCGAATATCAACTAATTCCATACATCCAATAATTGATAACAATAGTAGTGATGTGAGCATCAATACGTAAAGTAAACATAGCCAGAACATACTGTTACACAAAGTCCGATATAATACTAAGTTTAAAT